CCAACAGCCCAGGCATGTTCCCTGATCAGGAATCGAACCATGACCTCCTGGTTCGATAATAAAATTTCTGAGAAGTTCTACAGCGAAGATGCTTGTATAACTTCAGCCACATCACCCCAAGTAATTGATTTTGGAATATTTCCCAATGACATCTATCTGTATCCTTTAACACCTATTAACACTGTATGTGATGTATTTTTGGAAAATACTCACATAGGGAAAAGGCTCTCATTCCCTGAAACATGGCTCCCCAAACATCACCCAGCAGCTCTGATTGTGAGAAATGTAGGCCAGGGGCCTTATGAGCAAGTGAGGGAATGGTTGGTGGTTTAGATGCTGTGTGCTTACTCTGCACGCTCAGCCCCGGTCCCTCCGGCCGGGGGTATTTCTCTGGTGACCCCATTCCAGAGTTGCTTCTGTTTTCTGCTTTTACCACTCACCACCTAGTGGGCTCCACTACACTGAATCCTGTAACCATGACAAGGAAGCATTTGAAGCCACTTTGAAAAACAGCAAATCTAGCCTTCAGGTTTGAAGTGCTAAAGAACCAAAGTAGATAGCTTGTTATTGTTTTACATGCCTAGATCATTTTTGTCTATGTGTAGGATTACTAGGGACAGGGGTGTAAATTTTGTGAAGACTTTTGTTACTTATGACCCAAATGACCTTTCAGAAAAGGTTTACCCATGTACATTTCCACTGGACATGATTTTGGAGAGGAAGGAAGAGGGAGGATAGAAACATCAATAATGAGAAAGAATCATTGATTGCCTGCCTTCTGCAAGTCCCCCACTGGCGATCGAGCCCACAACCTGAGCATGTGCCCTGAATAAATAAAAAAACATGACCTCCTGGTTCATAGGTTGATGCTCAAACATTGGGCCACACCAGCGGGACAAACCTTCCAACTTTAAAAACACTGAGAGGGTTCCCCTGGGGTGCACTGGTGATAGGCCTCTAATCCCTTGGGGCTTCCAATCTTCAGTCTGGAAACAGTGCTGAAAGAGGGGAGATGAGAAACTCCAGTCCCTTGTACAGAAATTTCACTAAATCCCTACAAATTCCCTAAGGAAGATATGCCAGACCGTTTGCTGCATGAGTTATATGCTATATTGTTTCATGAATCCTCATAAAACCCCTGGAGTTGAGTTGCCTCAAGAAATATAACATTGCCAAGCCTTGATTTCTTCAACTGTAAAATCAGAATAACCACAATACCAACTTCATAGTGTTGTTGAAAATTAAATGAAACAAATAGAAATAAGGATCTTGGGGCAGGAAGTGAGCTAGTAGTGATGGTGGTGTATGTATGGTGCTTTTCACTTCTAATCTGTCTGTATTATGAAAAATTTTGAACAAAGGGAATGAATTCTTGTACTAGTTATGCAATAAAGTAAAATAATACATGCCCCCACACTGTTAAGCAGGAAACTTACTAGAAGCCCTGGGGGAATTATTATGAGAAATGATTGGCTGCAATACCCATCTCACTGCCTGCTAAAAGAAACTAAATTTGTACAGTGTCTGGCACATAATGGCTGCTCTTTAATTACTGGTTCCCCTTCTTATAATAAGTGCTCAATAAGTGGGGGAGTGGGGGCAGGGGTAAGGGCTGGGAGTGGGGCTAAAGGGGGGCAAAACCAGAGACATCTGTAATACTACCAACACTAAAAAATATATATTTTTTTTAAATTTAAAAATTTAATACTATTTTTGGTCTTGGTTTCTGATAGCCATTGTTGTATATAAATATGTTCTTTATAGTTTATATATAAACCAGCTCCTGAACCTTATCAAATACCTCTCCAGCATTTATTAACATAACTTCATAGATTTTGTCCTTTATTGACATAATGAATTATGTTGATAGATTTGCTGATAATGGACCAATTTTGAATTACTAGAATAAATCCTACTTGATTATGGAACACTATTCTTTTGATATTTTACTATTACATTTACTATTATTTTAATTTTGATATTCTATTAAATTTACTAATATTTACTAATAGAATTGTTTGCATTTAAATTCATAAGTGAGATCAGTCTGTAGTTTTCTTTTTGTATATGACTTATCAAGTTTTAGAATTTAGTTTTGCTAACTTTAAAAAATACGTTCCCCTCTTTTTCTGTGATATTGAATACCCATCATAGGGTATGGCTGAATAAAGTAAGATCTGATTTAAATCTCAATGCCCATCAAAACAGAAATGGTTAAATAGATGGCTTTCTACTCTGGATTATGCAAATATTAAAGAGCATTAGATACATAGATGTCTATTGAGCTGGAGTGATGACTAAATGTGTTAAAGGGTAAGAAAAATAAGTTGCAAACACTTTTTATTGTAGAATCGTTTTCTATGGAAATAAGTGATGAAAAAATCCGTAAGCCGAAACCGGTTTGGCTCAGTGGATAGAGCGTCGGCCTGCGGACTGAAAGGTCCCAGGTTTGATTCCGGTCAAGGGCATGTGCCTTGGTTGCGGGCACGTCCCCAGTGGGAGATGTGCAGGAGGCGGCTGATCGATGTTTCTCTCTCATTGATGTTTCTAACTCTCTACCTCTCTCCCTTCCTCTCTGTAAAAAAATCAATAAAATATATTTTAAAAAAAAGAAAAAATCCGTGAATATAACTGTATAAACATAGAAAAACATGTGGACATATATATATCAGACACACTGGTTACTGAGGAATAAAGGAATGGAAGAGATGGAAAGAGGGATAATAAGGGGGAAAGGATGTAATCAAAACAAAAATATGATATAAGTGAAATATAAAACAGCTCCTGAACCTTACCAAATACCTCTCCAGCATTTATTAACATAACTTTGTAGATTCTGTCCTGTGATCTCTAATGGAATATAAAATGGAATTTCTAATGGAATCTCTATAAAATTCCATTAGAGATCACAGAATGTTGACATGTATACATATTATCTTTTCCCCATCCCCAAACTATATGAAAGTTATAGGAAAGAGAAAATTTTTATAGCCACTGAAGGACAAAGAGATGTGAACAAATTTCAAAAAATAACATGAAGATTGGCTCAAGCCCAGGGGAAGAACTTCAATCTGAGCGCTGCAGAATGGAGATGCAGACAAGAAAGAGGCCAAAGACTCATAGAACCCTTCTAAGAATCAGGTCTTTTTTTAAAATATATTTTTATTGATTTCAGAGAGGAAGGGAGAGGAAGAGAGATATAAACATCAATGATGAGAGAGAATCATCGATCAGCTGCCCCTTGCATGCCCCCTACTGGGGATCGAGGCCACAACCTGGAATGTGCCCTGACTGAAATAGAACCCAGGACCCTTCAGTCCACAGGCTGGCACTCTATCCACTGAGCCAAACCGGCTAGGGCAAAATTCAGGTCTTAAAGGTATCAGGTACTTGGGAGGTAGTGTAAAGGAGGCAGGGGGTGGAGTTATATGAAGGTCTACAAATGAGATTTGGGGAACCTTAGCCTTTCTTTCCCTGCCCTGACTTTAGAATGCTGGTGCCAAGCCCAGAGAAAAGATCTCCAGATTTGGACATCTGAGAGTCAACCAGTAGGTAGGCCAGGTTTACCTGGTCCCTATAGTAACCCAATGATCAATAAGTCCTATCTATACAGAGCATTCAATCAGCCTTTTAGACCTTTTATTTTAAGATTCTTCTTAAAATAATCTCAGACAGCCAAAGAGTACCAGATATTTGAGGTTTCCGGTGTGGAAAATAGATCAAAACAAAGTTTAAACAATGTTCTTGGGAAGAAATAAGA